TAGTTGCATTATCACAGTCTCCACTTCCTCCATAGGCATGGGTTCGGATCCCACCGCTGCCACCATTTATGTGTGACCTGTATAGAGCCACAAACCTCAAAATATATGGGTAAAACTCCAGACAAACGGTACTTATATAACAATACAGGTATCACAATATAGGCAAATATAAAGATATAATATCAATAAAGGGACACAAAATAGCATTATATATAATAAGGCCATGTAGCAATGCTAAAACTCACAACATGAAAACCTATGTCACCTAAGCCCATTACACCTAGTCTAAATGTGTAAATATAATTATGGGTTTATATTCTGGCAAGGTTCTTAGAATTTGTCAAGTACCAGTATGCAGTAGGGGGCGAAACCATTAAATGGGACATCTGAGATGGAGCAAACATCACTGTAGATGGAGCAAACATATATACATATAAATGAATTTATATATCACAATGTGTGGGTGGTGGAAATCATGCCGATTCAGAGAAAGAGAAGAGATATCAAAACATATACATTGACAGTCTAGCCTACCTAACTTAACCTAAGTATCATTTATACAGGCAACTTATGTGAAATTCAAAGCCTTCTAAAATTACTCTTGAAACACCATTTGTTCTAAACACGAATTGAAATTTGCAATAACTATGAATTCTATGATAGCCACACTATATTGAGAACTGCCTAAGACAGGATCTATGATTGACCGCTAAATATCCTACGACTTACAATACTTACAGGTGTGAATGGTCAGAATAAGTTTGTAATGTATGGAAGACCAAGTCCAAGATATGCTTTAATCATGCTGTAATTTAGGCCTCCTGCATGTCTTAACATGTTCATAAGCTGTATTTACCTCCTTAGGGATTCTATTAGTTTTTTTTTTTTTAAGTAAAGACGTACTTTATTTATATCTTAAATTACATACTGTTTACAAAAAATACAGATATTGCTTACGTTATCACGTGTGCAAAATGACAAGCTTCTATAATCAACCACTTCATGTCCTTGCAGGTTCTTGTCGCTGTGGACTGGTTACTAACGCCCGTATCATAGGGGGTCAAGAGATATCTCCTCACTACAAATATCCTTGGCTTATTGGTATGCTTAGACCTAACAGATACGGGGACGAATTTTTCTGTGGCGGAACTATCATTAACAAGAAGTATGTTCTAACTGCTGCACACTGTTTACTTGGTGATGACGATCTGCCTTTACCAGCAAAGGAATTTCAAGTGGGGATTGCCAACCACAATTTCAATTCTAAGGATGACGACATACAGGGTGTCACTCAGGTAGTGGATGTGAAAAGTTACATCATTCATGAGGATTACGTCCCTCAAGATCTTAATGATAACAACAAAGACATCGCTCTCCTGCTTTTGAAAAAGTCGCTGGATCTAACATCACACCCGCAAATTCAACCAGTGTGTCTGCCTTCTGACCCGGACAGGAAGTATGAGGGAGAGACTGGGACCGTGATAGGATGGGGGGACACAAAGAACGGGAAAGGGGCCTATCCAGATGCTGCCAGGGAGGTCAATGTACCCATCAGGGACTGTAAATCTGAGATAATAGCTGGTTCTCCAATCACCCCACAAATGATGTGCGCAGGGAGGAAGAAGTCAAAGAACAAGAGCGCAAAGGGTGCCTGTTTTGGCGATTCTGGCGGTCCTCTTTTCGTAAATGAAGATGGGAAATACACCCAGGTGGGAATTGTCTCCTTTGGGCAAAGTTGTTTCAAACCAACTGTGTATGCTCGAGTAACTGAGTTTCTTACTTGGATCAGTGATAACACTCCTAATGAGATTTACTGCCAGTAGTGTTCCATGGTAAATGAACAGAGAAGGGCATACATCTCCAGTGATGTATTTGAGAGAGATACTATGTTCAAATATAATGCGTATTTCATACAAGATTGTGTACAAATGATTGTGTCGTCCCTTAATGCTGTATTCTCTGAAAATTTATGCAAAGTGTACTTCATATTTGAGTTTGAAGTATAACTTCCTTTCAGAATAATAATAAAGAAAAAAAAAACGAAGAATATACCTTAGAATCAGCAATGGTAATGACTGAAAGCTATTAATACCACCAGTATATTAACTCTCTTCACGTGTGTCCTCGAAGCACTGATTCCCAAGAACCTCGCTTGAAAGAGGTTTCCAGACAAGCTAAGATAAATAGCAAAATAGACTTTTGACATTTTGGCTTTTCATTGATAAACCCTGTACTTCCAAACACGTCTTGAGTTGGAAGAAGGTTAACATAATAATCTAATAGGAGAAAAAAAAATCATATGCATCTACATGGTATTTTTAAAGCTCTCTAGTCGGCGAAAAAAGGGTCTAAAACTTTGTCAGTTTTGTTTCCTGTCAGAGCCAGGTGAAAATAGTAACTTTTCTTAGCAGTGCAATACTGAAGAAGAGACAGTAGGAGTCTTCAGAGATTATGAGAAATATTATCTATTTTTGTATGTGAAACGGGGTTCAAGTAACATTCAGATACAGCTGGTATGTCGCTGAAATAACTGAGGAGCAGCTACACTGAATTCTATTAATTCTAAAGCAGTTGTTACGATAATGGACACGTTATAATCTTAATCTGTTCTATATTCTGTACCAATATCATCTTTTGCATGACTTCAAGTGATACTATACTTTTGCTGTTTTTCTTTCATGTTCCTTGTATTTTGCTATATCTGTTGTTGTTATAGTAATTAAATATGTTACTGTTGCACTGTGTTTTCATTTCATTTGTGAACATTGAACATTTATTATGTTTGTGTGTATAACCGAGTTCGTTGTACTGTTTTCTCGCCAAACATCTTAACAGTCTACATTTTTTTAATAACACTCGCTATTAACCAGCTGTATATCGAATTACTTTGTCATTATAACCAGTTAGATGACGTGCTTATCCAGTCACAGAGCGCGTTACTCCCGATATGTGAAACTCGCAAGGGGACATAATAACAACAATAATCATCCTATATCTATGTAATAATAAATTGCGGCGTCCAAAACAGAGATAACACACGACAAAGCCTGTTTTGATATTTATATCGATAATAACACACACATACAGTATATATATATATGTATATTTTTTTTTCTTCTTCTTTTTCTTTTTTCCCCTTTTTTTCTTTTTTTTCCTCTTTTTTTTTTTTCTTTTTTTTTTTTCTTATAGAAATTTATTCCACTGTAGGACATAGGCCTCTCTCAGTCCACCAAAGGACCATCCTTGCCTGATTAGATCAACCGCTAACGCTTGTGCCACGGTGGCGACTTCCACCTATGACAACTGCGATTGACTTCTCAAGGCGCTATGTCGTTTTCTCATCGAGAGATCGAGCTCGAGCCAGAAGTTGGAGCGCAGGCCTTTTTATGACTGCCGCGGAGAGGAATTTAACTCGGGACCATGAGGGTCGGAGTCCGGTGCTCTATCCACTGGGTCATTACGGCAGTCACATATATATGTGTATATGTATATGTATACACACACACACACACACACACACACTCTGTAATAGGTTTGCCACTATATATGTACGTGTGCATGTGTGTGTGTGTCTGGAGAGAGAGAGAGAGAGAGAGAGAGAGAGAGAGAGAGAGAGAGAGAGAGAGAGAGAGAGAGAGAGAGACAGAGAGAGAGAGAGAGAGAGAGAGAGAGAGAGAGAGAGAGGGAGGGAGGGAGAGAGCGGAAAGTAAAAGGGGGAGAGCGAATGCGTCATGTTTTGTGAAACACCTGTGCTAAGTAGGTTGCCCTATATATGTGTGTGTTTGTGGGGAGTTGGAATTACACGCAAGGCAATTTACTCCCTCTGAATACACAAAGGACCAATAAGCAAGCTGCATAGAATAAGCTTTAGTTAATGATGGATAATATAGAATCGACACCATAGGAATAACGAGATGATAATAACACGAGATGAAATACTGAAGTATCATCAGCACTTGCAGGACGGTGAAGGGATATGAACTGAATCTAGCCCCTGTAGCGATCAAATCTGTTTCTGTCAGCTCTCCACTGCAGCCAAACAGCCCAGTAAACCATGCCATAAACGTCAAAGGGCAACCTGACTACTCTCCCCTCGTCGAAGGGAGCCAGCCAGGGACATTCCCCAGTACTCGAGCTCTTAACCCCAGAGTAAACAGGTACTCTTGGCCCAGGGTAACGAGATCCCGATACCATGTGGCAATGCTATCCACCCCCCCCCCCCCCACCGTCCATTACGATAGGCACCCCTTCAATAGCTAAGGCCAAGGCTGCCCCTCTGCCCAGGGTAACAGACTTTTCAGCAACCCAGACATATCAAACATAACAATGTAACTAGTGAATACAGTGCAGACAACAAACTGAATTATCAGGTAGAAAGTGAAAACGCCACCACAAGCGCCAACGGTCGTAGTCAACACCATAGAACGATCGAGGCGCAAGAAACGAATGAGCAGTTTCAGCAGTGTCGTCATCGTCATATTCAGAAAAGGAAAAAGGAAAAACACGAGTGGAACGTAACACACAGAAACATTGCAAGGTCTAGAACGTCCTCAGGTAATATACTTTTATATTACAAGTTGTCACACTGATACAGATGGAAAAGAGGACGATTTTCCTGCTCATTAGTTCGAAAATACGGCGAATGTAAAAGCATACAAAACAAAAATAACACGACCAGTTTCACGGGAACATTTAGAGGCAAAGATACAAGCAAACTTTTCACTGTTTTTTTCACAACAAACCTACAATAAATACTATAGTTTTCCACAACAAACATACAATAAAACCAGCTTGTTTGACAGCATTACACGTCAGCAAGTCTAACGGTCAAATAATGCAATTCAATCATAATAGAACACATCAAAGCACAAGTCTCTCCTTCGAAAAAACTGAATTGAAATGATTTTTGGGCGGAGAGAAATGTCGATATCAATTGTATTAATGAAACCTGGCGTCATAAAAACAATGTCAATTACTTTTAATATTCGAAACATTAATATAAATGTGATACAGAGCGAAGTGAAGGAGTTTGCATATATATGTAATATTATTACCCACTGCCGACGGGCATGCCATGCCATGCCTACTGTGAGTTTACTTGTTTGATTGTTTTAACACATAGATGGCTACACTTGTACTAAGCCACCAATGAGTACTGCCTGTCTCGCCCGTTCACCCTGTTTAATTTTCGAAAATATTTAATCTATGTGTAGAGACATTTCACACACACGCACGCACGCACAGCATTTTCCCCATTTTTTATTCATTTTCCCCCGGCGACAATGGGTTAAGTAGCTTTAGTTTTGCAATACTCACAGAATTTCGCCTCGTGGTCCAAAGAATGTTTAATAGCGATGCCTTAATATTTAAAAGAACTTGCTTTTTTTTTTGTCTTGCCCTGTACTCCTATAGGATAGCCAAGTGAGACAGCAGGACATATAAAGAACATTTTTTTTGTTTTTTAATAAGTTAAGTTTTTAGTTAATCTGGATTTTCAATAACGTCGAAATGTCGTATCACAAGTAATTGTCTTTATACTTAACAGGCTACACATGCCACAGTACTTAGTTGTAGCAACATTTACTACTACTTACACTTGCAACTTGACCTATAGACTTTCACCCTTATGACTCCAAATCAATGTGTTTATAATGCCTTACAAAGCATTAAATTTCAATGGAATGTGGAGTTTCTATGACCTACCATTCCATATATCATACAACCATTAAAGAAAAAAAAACAGTACGGTGCGGTATGAATGATGTTCATTTTTTTCTTTTTTTAATTATACTTATTTTTTCCAAAACCTGGCATATGACAACTCTAACCTTTTTGACTCAATTTTTTTTAGGGCAATATAAATCTGCTATCACTATGGGCCAACTGAAGTTTGCAAGTTGTGATGGACTCCCTTTACCCTAATTAAGTCACTGGACGACTGTTTGACATTAGATATGAAATTAACAACCTATAATTCTTGTTAAAACTAGAGGGGGGGAGGGTGGCTCGTTAAATATAAAGCTAAGAAATACATTTATCATTGGAGGGTAAGACCTCATTTACACTACCGTTGCTTGCATTTATATTTAGAATAAATATTGTGAAAAAAACTTTTAACCTACCATAATTACTTGGTAATTGTGAATTAGAACATTTTTTTAGATATAACGAATGGTGATTCAACTGTCATATATACCTTCACAGATATTGTTGGTATACATATGAAATATATCATTACATACTGTATGTTTCACTCAAATGTTATTTAAACAAAAAAATACATAATAATAAGAAGATAAATAATATATTGCAATGTAAATATTTATATCTACTCTCCCTCACAACCAACACGTGTATTTCATAGTAAACACAAAACGAACGTGAATTAAAGATAAGAAGAAGAAAAAATAGGTCTAAAACCCTATTTAAGAAGAAAGAAGAAGAAGATAAGAAGAAAGAAGGAGATTTGAAGGGGGAAGAAAAGATTCATAGTTGAAAACCCTGTAAAAGAAGGACGGAATTACTGTCAGTAAGTATTGTCAGTATTTCCAAGTATTGTCAGTAATTCTTGTACTTTGTGTAAGTCCAGTAGAGGTGATTTTAGTAGAAATTTTGAAAGGATATTTTTTTTCTAAGTGAAGAGCAGCTAAATATTATTTCGTTATTCATTACGTGAACTGAAAGTGCAGAGAAGTAACGATGCATCTTTTTTTTTATCTTTGTGGAGATAAAAGGTTATAACAAACCCACAGTGGCAGACCTATATACACCTATTTAAGCTATATATAACGAGAAAAAAAGAGTTCTTATATATATGGGTAGATATTTCAAATAATTACCTTTACTTGAAACCCATTTAATTCCTTATTACAAACCCCCTCCTCCAACAGGCTTAGAGAACCATGAAAATTGTTTTTTGAGTGAGCTGACATAAATTATATCATATGTGTTTGAGTTCTGCCTAACTTGTAATGAAAGACTATGATATTTATTACACTGTACTCACCTGAATTGCATTCCATGTTGCCTCTGTACATGTCAGTACTTTGATGAAGAGGTTAATAAACATTTATGTAAATTATCATTTGTTTATCAGTGAAGGATTGAAGGTCAAAGGAACTGTTACATTTAGTATATTTTTATATTTAATAACTTTGTTATATTGAGTTTGCAATGGAATTCCCATAAATTTTCATAGATTTTATTAATCTATTGATTTTTTTTTTCTTCATCTTCATTGAATGCCTGTTGTCATACAAAAAGATGTTGACCTGTATAGCTTAGACATACATCCAGAAACCCCCTTATATTAACATGAAAGCCTTTACATTCAGTTAAGTGGATGGTTTCAAATAGCTTCATGGAAAAAAACAATCCAGTATCATATGTGTGATCTTCTGACCCAAACACATCTGCACAACAATATTTTCACTCCAGATTAAGTGCCTTTGTATTGGGTGTACACCGATAACTTCAACAGTATTTTTTCATCTTCTCTTT